CACATGAAAGAAACTTGTTATTCATAGTATAAAAATGTTCCGTGCCGTTTAGGTTTAGGGTTTATATACTGTGGCCTATACAAAACATTTTGTAAACCCCATTGAAATTAATTAATGCATAATATTTCGTACAATAATTTGTTTTCTTGGACAGAGTACAATGGTTCATGTTGCAAGAGAAAAAGTATCAAAATGACGTCAGCATCAGAAATATTACAGTGCTCAGATAGTGTACATATATGTGTATGTATATAAGTTTCTACGTACTCTAGTTGAAAGAAGAAAAGAAAAAAAAGGACAAAGACAAGTTAAAAATCATCAATGCAAGCGCAACTAGTTTTGAGCTACTATTCCACTATTTTCAAGGTCTTGTTTGATAATTCAATTCAACATTTAAATTTAATGAGTTCAGATTTTTACATGTTTCGACGCATTTGATAACAAAAAATTGAACATCTGAATTAATTAAGTGGCACTAAATTTTCTAGACAAAACTTGCTTTAAAAAATAACTAATAAACTATTTACTTATCACTTAATATGATATACATGTATCAGATTTAGCACTTAATAATTCACTAATTTAATGGATTCAAATTTCAAATTTCAGATTTCAGTTTTATCAAACTCTCCCATAATGTGTTTATGTGTACAAACCTATTAAATGTAATCTCTTCAGATGTATTTTTTTGTTTTGCTGTAGAAACAGCTTGCCGAGTTTTGGTGGAATTTTCTGTCTTCATAGCTATTAGTTGGATTCTGGGGTTAATTAGACTTCAAATCTTGGCTTCTTGCCATTTTGGCATTAGTAATAGGATTAATCTTGCCTACACTGACATTGTGTCAGCGTTGGATGAATGACAACTATGCAAAAATTGAATTTTAAATTCAACTTTTGCACATATATCATGAATTCAATGATGATATTGTATATAAGATTTACTTTACTCTTGATAATAATTAAATTTGTGGAAGATGACACATGAATTTAAGATTGTTAGACGAGTTTCCGTATTTGCTTTTGTAACGGATGCAACGCATCTGATGTAACTACATTTTTTTTTTCAGACACAGGGGGTATCCAGGTTTTCGGCCCGACTAATCTCCCTGCGGCCCGAGAAGGGAGGCCCTACCCCCTCGGACGCGGTAGCCCCAGGCAAGACTCGAAACCTGGTAAGCGTGGCCTGAAGAGGCGCTTGCTACCAGAAGAGCTAACCCAGGGAGGGCCATTTGATGTAACTACATGATGACAATTTTTCATGATTATTTACACTAAGGGAAAAATGCACTTTTCATCCTCAAAGTTTGGGTTGTTGACTAATTTCATCCTCAAAGTTTCACCCAAAGCACATTTCATCCTCAAAGTTCCGTAATTTTGGCCAATTAAGGACAATTGATGGGAATTGGCAAATTTATCATTAGAACCAATGGTTTTACCCAACAAAAAATGGGTAAAACCAAATGGAGCCATTTTTTAATGGAACAATAATTTGCAACGGATGAAAAGCTCCATTCTTCTCCTTCTTCCCTCTACCTTTCTGCAACCCCAAAATTTTTTTGCCAATCTCTGGATCTTTAAACCTTTCATCCTTAGAGCATCTGCCAATGGTTTTGAAGTCTCATTTTTGCCTAATGAGGAGCAGAAGTTCTGAAGTCTCCAGTGGTTCATCAACTCCATTCTGCAACTATGGGTTGAGAACAAAAATGAGCACCTGTTGGCGCGGCGAGAATCCGGGAAGAAGATTCCTTGTAAAGAGCAACTGGAGACTTCATTTTTGTTCTCAACCCACAGTTGCAGAATGGAGTTGATGAACCATTGGAAACTTCAGAACTTTTGCTCCTCATTAGGCAAAAATGAGACTTCAGAACCACTGGCAGATGCTCTGAGGATGAAAGGTTTAAAGATCCACAGATTGGCAAAAAAATTTTGGGGTTCCAGAAAGGCAGAGGGAAGAAGGAGAAGAATGGAGCATTTCGTCCATTGCAAATTATTGTTCCGTTAAAAAATGGCTCCATTCGGTTTTATCCATTTTTTATTGGGTAGAGTCGGACTCAAAAGTGGGATTGGAGCTGATAGTAGAAGCAGTGGCCACATCGCCTTACCATAACTTGGTCAGGCAGATAAGAACCATGAAGAATAGAGAATGGTCATGCAAACTGCAACACATCTGGAGGGAAGGAAATAGATGCGCAGACTAGCTAGGAAAGGAAGCAATCCAGCTACAGCTGTCAAATGGATTGATAGAACATCCACCAACAGGACTCAGGGAGCTGTTAGGAGCTGATGTAATTGGGTTAACAGTCCCGCGCTTAGTAACGTGTTAAGAGGCATTTGCCTCTCCTTTGTATCCAAAAAAAAAAAAAAGAGGAGCACCTAGTTATGTAATCTAGACCTTGATAACAGTTAGTTATTAGTATTATATCAATATTTCAGGAACTGGGATACTCATTATTTAGGGATTTTGTTCCACGGGTGGCCCTAGTAGTGGTGCTGGTGGCGGCAGATCCTTTGCAACGCCTGATGGAGGGATAGGTACCCTTTTTGGAAGTCCAGGGAATGCCCTACCTCGGAGTCAAGCAGGTGGCCCTTAGAGGCGGTAGAGGCTCCTTTGTATGACCCGATGGAGGGATGGGCACCCCTTGAAAGCCTGGAAAACACCTTATTCGGGGGCAGAGTATATGGCTCAAAACTCAACTCTTGTCTGCTTGCCACTATGGAGTTGAAGAGGATGAAAACAAGAAAAGAGAGCAAAAGTATGTGCCATAAAAGATGCACACTTTGTGAGGAAGAGATTAAGATTCTACTTGATAACTCAATTTAGCACCTAAATTTAATGGTCAGATCTTAACATGTTCAAACGTGTTTGATAACCAAAAATAGAACATCTGAATTAATTAATTATCACCGAATTTTTTACTCAAAACTTGCTCCAAAAATAAGTAATAAGCTATTCACTTATCACTTAATGTGATATATACTTAAATATATCAAATCTAGTACTTAAAAATTTAGTAATTTAATGGATTTAGACTTCAGATTTCAGATTTTAACTTTTAATTTTCAAATTTCAATTTTATCAACCGCACCCTAAAGAGTCCATTGGGAACCTTTATTTTTTTCTTTTTTTTTTTGGGATGATCAATAAGAGAGCTTAGCATATACACACACACACACACAAACATATGAAGACAAGGATTCAATTAGATGCTTTTTTTGCTTTCATGGTAAGTCAATTATTATGCGTTTTGTAGATACACATTTGAAAAATATTTTCATTATTATTTTCCAGAAAATGAAGGTAAAACATATTTTGTAGTAGTTTCATATCCCATTCATAGGACTAGAAATGAACATTTAAATAAGTTAAATAAGTATGTTTAGCAATGCAGGCCCAATTTTTTGTAATTGAACATTGAATTAAAGGTAATGTTGAAAATAAAAAAAAAATTAAATGAGATTCAACTAATATATTAAGATAGATTCTAGAAAGAAAATATGTTCTCCATGTATTTTAAACCAAGATTTTGAAGGGATTGATAAAAATAATTGTCCTAAAATTGAGTAGAAAATCAATTAACAATTGTTTCCCGTTGGTAATATTTAATTTTAGGGCAAATTCCACTTTACCCCCCTGTGGTTTAATTTTTTTTACATAACCCCCCCTGTGATTTTAAAAGCTATACATAACCTACTCATGTTTTGGATTAAAGTGTCAAAGTGACAGAAATGATTATCCGTAACGGAGTTATCTAAAATGTCAAAAATACCCTTATATAAAGTTGAAAATTATTTATTAACCAAGGGGGATTTTATGTATATTTTGAAAACCATAAGGGAGTTATATGGTAAAATATAAAAATCATACAGGGTTAGTGCATCATATATTTATAAGGGTAATTTCGACATTTTTAAAAATTCCTTTAAGAATGACTATTTTCATCACTTTGACACTTTAATCCAAACCATGAATGCGTTATGTATAGTTTTTGAAACTATAGAGGAGTTATGTAAAAAAACACTAAACCACAGGGGGTAAAGTGGAATTTGCCCTTAATTTTAAGCTTGTTTTCTAGGTTGATTACATTTGTTACCACTTTATGGGCTTCATCTAGGCTTTAACCAGATGGACCACAATGTAAGGTGAATTTTACACGAGCAGTCCAGCTATTCCAGAAAAAAATTTCACAAAATTGTTAAATTGCTTATTGTTTACGTGTTTATTTTTTTTTTAAAGAAGAAAACAACGTCAGATTGGAAATGCATGCTTTGCAGGGAAATTGAATGCCTGAATTTTTTCTTATAAATGAGTACTACAACGAAATAAACTTGATACTTATTTTTCTAAGAAGGAAAAGAATTGCTAAAAGGTGAAACAACACAAGGAGATTGATAAACCTGCTACTCATATTATTTATGAAAAAAGACTTGCCACTAAAAGTTTTTTCTTTTTTGGTAATAAAAAGTTTGGATAAGTTCCGCTCTAATCATCATCACGAATCAAGGCATGTCTCCAAAACCACAAGTCTCTTGTAGAAGTTTTTACAGATCGCCCACCAATACAACATTCACATCGACAATGGGATTCAAACACACGATTTTTTGTAGAAAAGTATTTCGTTCTTGCTAACTGAGCCAACTTGTGTTAGCTTGCTACTAAAAGTTGCATGCACATAACTATTAAGTGGTCATTTTCTGAGGGACAATAATGTCTCAGGTTCTATTACAGATCCTACTCCCAAATTTTTATTCTCTTAACTTTCATCATTATCATACCAATCGTCTTCTTAGGTTAAAAGAAAACCAAAACGACTAGGTCAGTTGAAGTGCATCTTAGATTACAGTTCGAATTTTATGATGGACTCACCCCTCTGATTCGTATGCTAGCTTTTAACCTGTGCCCGTAGGGCACAAAAGTAACAGAAAACCAATAAATATAACGAAAAGATGACGTGAAAGATAGCTACTCCTATCTGCTTAGCCAAAAACTACTGGAGGGTTTCTCATCTCCTTTGGAAATTGAGAAACTTGATGCCATAGGCAAAGACCAAGAAGAATAGGAGGACCCAACCAAGGTGGGCAAAAACCACTGGAATGAGGAAATCATGGTCATAGCCCAAGTTATCCTTGAGGAATTTGTTGATTGGCATTGTGCTTTTATCAGAGAGTTCAATGTCTTTGGTCCTGTCACCAAGTTGTGATGCAAAAATACCATAAATTGACCATGCAACTGGAGAGCACCAGTAGTACCACCTCCACCAAACTGGGATAAGCTGCAAAACATTCAACTTCAAAATTAATGGTGGCATACTTGCTAAGTTAAAAAATTCTACCCATGAGTGGAGTGAATTTGGTGAAATGATCGATCGAAAAACTCAAGAAGAGAAATTATTGATTTTCCAAAATCAGAATTTTTAATCAAGCGAAATAATCAATTGAAAACAAGGCCTGTATACGTACGGGACGTGGGATGAGGAAACCAGAGAACAGATTCCAGAAATTCAAGAAGAATGACATGACAATTGCAGCAATTTGTTGGCCAGGAGTTAGCGCGATAACCATCATCCCGTACATTGAGAAGTAGGTGTAACACATGAAGATGAAATAGTAGAAATAGAAGAACTTCTGGCCAGTCCACTGGAATCCAATCATGGAGTATAAAAGAAGTGTATATACTAGAGTCTGAATTGCAACATAAATAGTTTCTATTGCAACCTGCAATGATGAGATACACAAGTATATAAGTTAGAACTAAAAAATTCTAGATGATAGCTGCTTAGCAAAACATGAATGTCATAAGCTTGTCTCACCTGAGCAAACGCGTAAGGCAACTCTGAATACATTCCTGCTGCTCTTTCACGGTAAAAAACTGTTCTTTCAATTGCTACAACAGATTGCACTGCAGAAGCATTGGTAGCTCCGAGGAAAAGAACAGCAGCATAAATAGCTCCCAGTAAATTAATTAAGTCTTGCTGCTTAAATCTGTTAACAGATAAATAAAATACTTGAACCTGATATTAGCAGAATGCAACTGAATTGACTGGACTTTATCATCATGCAACAGGTTACGGATTTGAAAGTTTGCTATGCTGATGAAATAAGGAGAAGTTGTACTTACATTACATTTCCTTTGTCCCAAAAGATAACACCAAATATAAGTCCGAAGACAACTGTCATGAAGAATCTGATGGCATTATACTGTGAATTCCTCCAGTATGACCAGTTGTGTTTCCAAAAACAAGCCTTGCATTGAACTAAAAAGGACTGAGAGTACCGAGTAGGAAAATGTAGGTCCTTGGAACCTGGTACAGGGGTGCTTAGTTCCTTTATTAGCTCCTGATTTCTCCTGGAAACGTGAATCAAGAAAGAAGTCAAGAATCTTAGAGAATATATGGAGAGACAGATGCTACTTTCTTGAGGAATTTGTGCAGAAAACTCTGTGACTTTTATGTTCTTTTACCTGTAAAGTTCAGAGTTGGCATATATTACTGCAAAATCAACCTCAAGTTGGGCCTCCATTGCAGAGGTGCTGACATCCAACATCCAGGTAGCCGGATTATAGCCCTCTTTTATCTTGGGAACGCCTGGTATAACCTGCAAGTTGATAAGATTTAAATTTAGGAGAACATTGTATTCTTATCCTCTCCTCAGGGCTCAGGCTTTAAGAGCCACATTATGAGACATTTTGAATGGGGACTGTATGCCCAACATGCTGATATCTGAATAAGCAGAAACAAGTCTGAGATTGTCTACTACACAGTTTCTATTCCAGAGATGTTGCACTCTAGGTAGTAATTATGGTGTCAGGATGAAATTTAACAACTGCTGGAGAAGAGTGAAGGCACCAAGCAAGCAATAATATGATTAAATGAGAAACCTCACCTCGAAATATTTGATAAGCTCGTGAGAATGGGGACCAAGCGGTCCTGCATATATCACTTGTCCTCCTCTCTTCATCAACAGCAGCTGAAGATAAAAGAAAGATTTTAGTACAAGTTGGAGTGCATTAGATAAGGATCAAGTGTGATGAGTATGAAAATTGAGCAAACCTCATCAAAAGCTTCAAAAATATCTATGCTTGGCTGGTGAATTGTGCACACCACAGTTCGACCTGTATTCACAGTGTTTCTAACTGTACGCATTACAACTGCAGCAGCTCTGGCATCAAGTCCTGAAGTGGGCTCATCCATAAAGATGATGGAAGGATTAGCAACTAATTCAACAGCAATAGTAAGTCTCTTTCTCTGCTCAGTTGAAAGACCGTCAACTCCTGGAAGTCCAACAAGAGCATTCCTCAAAGGATTAAGCTCAACCAAGTCCATGACTTCTTCTACAAACATCTGCAGTAATAAAGGCAAATGAAAATTATAACGTAAAAGCATGATTGATTTCTAGGCAGAAAGAGTAATGCATAAAATGTATCAAATGATTGAAGGTCATGATTGCATTGATCAGGCTCAGGATCTTGCCTTTCGGGTTTCTGTATTCACATCAGAAGCAAGCCGTAACCAGGCTGAGTAAAGAAGCGATTCATAAACAGTTACATAAGGCGAATGGATATCATTCTGTTCACAATAACCGCTAACTCGGGCAAAAGTTTCTTGGTTTTTTGGGTAGCCTGAAATGCTTATGCTTCCTTCAATATACCCTCCAGTCTTTCTACCTGCTAAGACATCCATTAATGTGGTCTTTCCAGCACCACTGACACCAACCAATGCAGTCAGAATGCTAGGCCTGAAAGCACCACTAATATCTCTCAGTAGCTGCAATCGTTCTTCATCAACCCCTTGTGTCTTCATTTCCTGATATCAGCCAAATGTCCAAATAAAAATGCAAGTTCAGAGAATGCACAAGAATCTAGAAACGAGATTTTGCATTGTCTCTTCAAAGTTCAAGTCGAGGATGAATAGCACTCACTGCAGGCATGTCCACATAGTAATTCACATGATTGAATGCAAGGGAAAGCGGCTGGAAAGGCAAAACCATTCCTCTAGCTGTTTGGATGCTTGTTTCACTAACGATTGAGTTTCCATTTTCCTGAGCACTTCTTACTGCCAGTTGAACACCTGTAGTAATGACAGCATATAACAAAAGCTTTTCTGTCTTAAAGTGTGTAGAGCAGATGAAAGCCTTTAAAAATAAGATGTCAACTAATGTTGCGAACAAAAGAAAGTCTCCTAAAACTAATTGCTTGTTGAACTTCAAATCAGGTAACTCATGCCAATATCAGTATACACTTACCACCAAATCCCAGAATTGCTATTACCTTTTTTTTTTTTTTTAAATGTACTAATAGGATATTGCAGAGAGAATTGGCAGTTATCTTCTGACTAAGTTCTATTAAACTTTACATTGGATTTTGGAAAAAATGCATATATCACGTTTCAAACCTTGTCAAAACTCATTTTTATCAAGGGACGCAGAAGGATTTATCTTTGAGTTGCATATGCAAAAAGCTGGAGTTGAATAGACCACAAACCTCCAGGATTTGATGCTACTTGCCGTCTATCCTTGTTTTGCTCATCATCCTCAAGAATAACAGCTTTATTATCTCCTAGAGCTGACATTAGGTTGACACCACGGAATTAAGACATAGACTTCTTACTATATAGTATATTAGAAACCAAAATAGCAAGATAACAAGGTTGTATGTTGGGCTTACGCTTTAAAAATGTCAATGCTCCAATAAAAAGAACATTGAACAGCAGAGAAAATGCAAAAAGAGCTCCTACACCAATCCAGTACCAGGTTTCCGTGAAAAATAGACCTCTGTCCTTAAGAATGGTCTTTCCAACTGTAGGTTCTGAGCCATTGCTGGGCTGTAAAACCAAAGTCAAGAACCATTACTAGAATTAATATCTGGCACTCAAGAGTTAGGCAGTGCTTTGTAAGAAAACGTCAAATTTCAGCGCAAATTCTTAGGAGATATTACCTTGCTCCATCTTTCAGCAAGAAATTCATTGATGGCAATGGCATTTTGTCCATACATCATTGGAGAAACATAGTAACCCCATATCATCCAATCCTTGATGTCATCTGTGAAATTAAAGAGGCACAATAAAATATATTAGTAATTCAAATATATAGTGAAGAAATATAAGTGTTCGACCATTTTTTTTTTTTTTTTTGCTACTAGATATAAACAATCAATTGTAGCAAGAAATTTGTGCCAGGTATAAATTGTTTTTTCACCTTTCGCAATAATGTATCCTCCTAGCACAAATACCACTAACAGGGTGAAGGTTCCAAGGGTGTTTGCCACAACTTCTACTCTCCCAGCTGCTGCAATAAAGCGAAACAAAGAGAGAGCCATATGATGTATGCTGATAAATGCCAAGAGCTGTTTGAAGAACCTGAAAAGTTGGGGATACAAACAGGAGAAAAGCTGTATTATTAGATAACTACCACAGAAATGACATTAAAGCTTCAAATAAATGATGTGAACTTGAAGTTACCTAATAGCAGAAGGAGCAAATCCAACGGAGTAATATGTCAAAAGAATCCATATTAAGGACTCCATCACTGAAATGGGAATACGTAGGACCCAAATTGGTACTGCAAAGGCCCATGCTGGGTAGAATAGACTTTCCCTCTGCTTAAAAAACACAGGAAGCCTAGCAACTGTCATTGGTAGCTCTGCCATTCCATTGAACATCACATTGATAAGACTGAAGTATAATGCTCCCCAAAACTTAGCAGCATTATCAATTTGACCAGTTTTCATTTCAGTTCTTAAAAACACTGTCAGGGTAATTACTGCCATGACGGTTATCTGTGTCGTTTTAAATATGTAAACAAAAGAACTCCGCTTCATGAGCAGCCATTCACGTGTGAAGCATGCCCTGAAGAGCTCCCAATTTGAAATTCCATACTGCTGTGTCACCAATGCAGCAGGGTGGGTTCTGGTCTTATCATAAGCAACTCTAAGGTCTATTGTGAGCTGCTGTCCTATGTGAAAAGAACTGAAGGCATTCGCAAAATCCTTTGGAGAGATATATGAATAAGGCTGGTTATTTTTGAACCAATACTGCTGTTGGTCCTTCTTTGAGGTAACCTCTTGAAGAAAGTCTGCAATCCCTTTCCTTTCGGGGCATCTAAATCCCATGTATTCAAAGAACTCAAGAATGTTCTCACGCGGTCCTTGGTAGACAATCCAACCATCGGAAAGCAGGATAACATCATCAAAAAGCTCAAATGTCTCTGGTGCTGGCTGTAAGAGAGAGATAACCATAGTTACATCATTAATGTGAACCATTTGTCTCATGAACTTGACTATTTGGAAAGTCGTGGAACTGTCCAGTCCTGTTGATATTTCATCCATGAAAAATGCTTTTGCTGGTCCTACCAACATTTCACCTGCATTTGGCACAATTACGATTTTAGTCCAGTTGACACCATGGTTCAAAGTCGCGGTCGCGGCTTGGACCGTTCCACATTGGTCTCGGCATATCGGTCGCGGTCTCAGCGAGACGTGAAATTTTAAAATATTTAATATTCTAAAAATTATAAAAAATATGATAAATAAAAATAATTAAAAATTAGTAAAAATAATAAAAATTCAAGTTGACTCGGGATGATTCGGAGTGACTCGGCCGTTTCAACCCTTCACGGTGACGTTTCGGCCTGTCACGTATCTCGGAAATGTTTCGTCGCGGTCTCGTCTCGGGCTAGGCCGAGACGTCTCGGTCTCGGCCGAGTCTTCGAACCATCACACATAAATTCCAAGAGTGCAGTGGGATAACTGAGCTTTAATTCATGAGAACCGGAAAGAGGATAAGCAAGTTTACCTGACTGTTTTATGTCATTACGAATACAGACAGTATCTTTTACTTCACAGTGTAAAGCAAACTTAATTACCAATTCTGTATAAGCTTAAATTCACACATACCTGTAGTGACACGTTTCTTTTGCCCTCCAGAAATGCCTCTTCTCATGTCATCTCCCACCATAATATCAGCACAAATATCCAATCCAAGAATCTGTTGGAACATTAGCAACATATTTAGTCTTGTCCAATATGCAGAAAGCTAAATCTGCGCAGAAGCAACAGACCTTCAGCACATAATCAGTGATCAAGCTGGTTTCTAATCCCATCATGGCCGTGGCTTTCATGAATGCATCAATCTCAGGATCTGGTTTAATACCTGCTTCTCTCTCTCTTCTTGACAACTCCACTAGCATATCATATCGGGTTCCTACTCCCAAGCATCTACCAGCAAAATCCAGTGTCTCCCGAACTGTCATTTCACCGTAATGAAGATCGTGCTGGCTAATATAAGCACTTGTCCTCTGAGGAACAAATTCATGAAATTCGTGGCCACAGTAGGTGATTTTTCCTGAAACCTGTTGGTGTACTTAAATCAGCAACTCATCAAGAATGAAAGCTTATCACTCTTGATCTAATCAAGACCTCAAAAGATACAAACAGAACAAGACAGAATATTGCATGAGGGATGTGGTTAGTTGAGGGTGAAAGCACCGTATGTTAGCTCTAGTTTATAGCAAACTAATCATTACTATCTAAAAAGTACCATGAGTCTTGGTACTTTGGAGTGTAAGTGTAAGTATTCTTGTAATCTTAGGTTTTGTTATTTCAGTTATACCCTTATTAATTAATGATTGGAGTTTCAGATTATGCTCTTCTTAATTTATTATGATGATTAAAATTCATTGTATCACATCTACTGATTTAGAAGAAAATAATAGTTGATGATAAGCATTAGAGACTGAGCATGATTTGACCTTAGTTTTTTATTTTGTCCAAAATACCATTCTCCCTAATAACCCTAATAATTAGATTTATTACATTTTAATAATACAATAATTGAAGTAGTTGGGAGAACATTGTAACCTTAATTAAATTTGAATTATGAAGACAATAAACAAACTATAACACTCCAAACCAATGTGCCTTTTTGCATTCTATTTTCAGTTTTTTTGTTTCAATTAAAAAATATTAATTAGTCATAGCCTACTTAACTTTTTAAATCTTCAAAAATATTACTATTGATACCAAAACCAGGTGCTCTTATGACAATAGAATCTTTGTCATTTGTGCTTTAAGTTAGATTCTGTCCAAAAAATAAAAAATAAAAGAAGACAAAAGCAAAAAATGAAAGACTCGATTACATCTACCACTGAAATTTCAATTTTCAAAAAATGGAACAGTAGGACGGAAAAAATTTATATTTGGTGAATCATTTATATTCCATTGTTAACACAAATAACATACAAAATAATACAAAGAGTTCAATTTCAAAGAATATACATCTCTTTACTTTTTAAAAAATAGTGTATATAACTTCATACTAAAGAATTGCAAATTTAACTTACGTAACATGAAAACTAATAATGGTAAAGCATGCAACTAATATTTATGCAAACAATCATATTTATTTTATTTTATTTTATTCTTTGCCCTCCTACCTCTTCCCACACCGTTTCTATCCCTAACTGCCACGCACAGGGTTCCAATTCGGAACTGGAAAGAACTCTAAGAACCCTACCTTAGCCACTAAGCCAGCCCCAGTGATTGACAAACAATTAACTTTTGCTTAGCGTGCAAATTTAGTTCATCCAACTCTAAAAGAAAAATTGTTCATGTGTCTAATTAAAAGTCATACAATTTTAGTGGTATTATCATAATTTGTTTGTCATGGAGAAAAAACAAATTAAGTAATTAGAAGTATCAATATTATACATACCATTCAAAATATTGATACTTTTGTCAAATCATTTCATATTTGGTCAAATCTTTATTTTTTTTAAATGTTAATTATTTCATCTTTTTTAATTAATTGCCCTTAAAACTATTATTTTAAATTGAAAGAGACCGAATGTATCCTCATTTGTTAAAAAGTTTCTAGAGGTTTTATATGAATTTGTAGACATAACATGTTGTGATCTTTTTCTTTTCTTTTTTTTTTTTGCTTTTAAAATAATGGTTTTAAGGATAATTAATTAAAGAAGTAAAATATTAAATATTAAATATTAAATTTGTTAAAATAATTTTCACAAATAAATTTTAATGTATAAGAAACATTATATTTTATGATATTATAATCACGTGCAAAGCATGTGACCTATTACTAGTCAACCTCAGAAAGGTAAACATTTTTATCATAACAGGTTACTAAAACAAAGGCGGAGTAAGATACTCTGAGATCATCATCAGCTTTGCCTGCCAGTGCTTTTAGCAAGGTTGTTTTTCCTGAACCTGGAGGCCCAAGAAGCAGTGTCATCCTGAAGATCAGCAAGGATCAAGAATAAGTACGTACATGAATTCTAAAACCAAAATCTAAAGTACAAAATGACAATAATACCAAGGAGCTAGGCACTTTTGAATTGTCAAAGTGAAATCAACTCAAAATAGAGACATTCAGGAGCACACCTTGATGGTCTGACAATCCCATTCACGTCTTGAAGTATTTTAACTATCCTTTTCTTTGATGGAGAAAGTCCAATCAACCCTAACGCAGCCTATTTAAGTGCAACAATGAAGGCTAAATAATTTTCCAGAACAATGATATAAATATCAAAGATCAGAAGAAAGCAACATGTAGGAAAAGAATCAGAAAAGGATGCTTAATTATAGAAACCTGAATGTTTAAGCTCAATCTCCCTAAACTATTTCTTTACGTTTCCTTCAAGATAAAATTAAACAAGGACATCAAAACTGTTTTCTCTCATCTAGTTCTCTCACAAAGAAAATCCAATTAAATACTCAACATTATAGATTAAAGAATCCGTATTAGCGAAATCCAGGAGAGGAAGATTCAGAAAACCATCTAGATGTGCAATTATACTCAATTTCAAATTGAGAAAAGAGCTATCAGCAACCATGGGAAGAACAAAACTCAGTTCTATACCTCCAGTGTGTTCAGGGTGGAGTTCCACAGAGTTGGAAGTGCTCGTGTGCCAACATATGCATCTCCCTCAATAGATAAATTTTGGAACCTCACTTCAATCTTTGGAATCTCAATTCCGACCCTGTGTCCCAAAAAACCAGGAAAAAAAATGAATCTACACATTCGACATAACTGTCAAAAAAACCTTCATAGAAAAACATCAAAAACAGAAGGAATATCAAAGTTTGAAGTCCAAATTCGGTTAATCCTACAATTTTTTGACAGTAATCAAATAAGTAATAGCAACACAGAGAGAATTCACCTGTCAGTTCGATCTCGGAGTCTCCTAAGCAACTTCTCATTATCATTTTCAACAACCTTAAGAATACTCTCCATCAACAGCTTCTTATCCTCAGCACCAATTTTAGTAACATCGATCTCATTTGAGATCATTTTTCCATTACTAACAACCTGCTTAAACATCCCTTTTCTCATCCTATCATAAGTAGGCAGCCTCTCAATGGCAGCCCACTTGAGCTCCTCCTCTTCATCGACCACCATTTCCCTCCTGTTACTACTAAACACATCTGGTGGACCTTGCAATATCTCCCTCACACTCTGTGACCTCCAACTTCTCCCACTACTCATCGCCCGTGACAAACCATTCCCTGCAAAATTAGCCATTCTTCCCACCACCCCTTTTTTCCTACTACGTCAGAACTATACAAAATACAAATAAAACTGCAGTTTCAAGTTTCCAAACGACTACAGTCTACCAGATTGCAGAAAGCTAAATAATATTCTTCAATGTGCATGTGCATGTGTGTTTTTTCCCCTTCTTTCAAAAAAATGAATGCAGTGACTCTTGATTTTTGTTTTGTCACAGATTCTCTAGCCAACCCTTTTGAGGAAAAGAGAAACTATAACCCAAGCTTACAGATATTTTTGTGTTTAAGAATGGTATATATATACAATCAGACAGTCAATCCCAGGTGTTAATTGCTTAGCAAGCAAGAAATTTCTTGCTTCTGGGTGATATTTTATTCCTACATTTTTGTGAAGAACTACGAAGGATTTCTTCCAATGTTTGTATTCTCACAACTTTCTGGCAGCTCATTTTGGAAAAAAAGGAAATTGGGAAAAGTATATATAGACTATAACTAGATAGTCAATACGAGGTGATACCACCAAGTAAGAAAATTAAGCAACAAATTTTCTTCTTCTAGATGGTTTTCACTATTCAGCTTTGTTTTTTCCTCTTTTTCCCCCATACATTTGCCTGAAGACTTTCATTTTTTTAAGGGTTATTTATAATTTATCCCCCTCAAGTATTCCTTGCCTCTCACCTTATTCCTTAACATTTATTTTCTGTTAATTAACCTCCTGCTAAGTTTTACATTTTCTTCTTTCTTTTCACAGTGAAGTTTAACCCGTGATTCAATTTTAGTTACTCTAATTGATGATGGTAAAATGTCACATTAGAGGAGTAGATATATTAGTAAAAAACTGCTCACAATTGATTATCTAGAAAAATGGTAAAGAAAGGATCGTAATAAGCACAAATCCGTTGGAGGAAAAACAAGACAAAAAGATGTCCAGATGACTTAAATTGTCTAATTATAAAGAAATAGGACATATTTTTTTAATTTCTTAAATTGGAGAATGGATGACTTTGATTTGTAATTGACCAATTATAAATAAGTATTAACCGTTATAAGAAAAGAAATTTTTTTCATTTTTATAAGTGAGAGAATTGACATTCTAAATTTTTTGTTAGGACAAAACATTACACATAAAAGAGAAGCAAATTAATGTATGATCTCTACATGTAAGGATACAAAAGTTCACATAAAATGCACTAAACATTTTAACTTTCGCAAATAAAAATGTTTTTAAAAAGAAATTAATGGATATAAATTGTTTTGTTTGCTTAAAATAGAAATTTGAAAGATAAATCTACTTTGGAAAAAAGAGAAGAGAGAGTAAAACAAAAAAATCAGCATAATAAAGGGATAATTTTGCTTTGTAGAAGTTTAAGTAATACAGAAAAAAAAAAAAAAAAAGGGTTAGAGAGTACAGAGAGAATTAAGGTATACGTTAGGGAAATAATTTATAATTATACCTTTTTCTTTGATGAGTATCTAGATGTTTGAAGCTCTTATTAAAAAAAGAGACAGAGAGAGATTTGAAGTTGAAAAAATAAATGCTTTTTTTTTCAGTGAATATCTAGATGTTTGAAGCTCTCATTAAAAAAAGAAAAAAAGAGAGATTTGAAGCTGAATAAATAACAGCTTGTTCAACCAGTTGAATTTCGGCAAGTGAAAACGAGGGCAATATTTGAAGTTAAAAAAGAGCCCACAGGGAGACCCTTTATTGATGATGTGGGCTGGTTGTAATTACAGAATAAGAATGAATGGTCTTGATTATGGGGTGTAGGGGAATATTATGGGCTGAATATCAAAATTGAGGTTATTTGAATAAACCAAAAAAAAAAAAAAAAATTCAACCTAACCCACCTGAGTTAGCACTTAGCCACCAAGGAGGGTCCCTCCCTAGGTGTAGTTCAGGGGTTCGAAGTCCTCAGTTTGCATTTTAATCTAAGATGTTTTGAAATTTTGCTAATAGATGCATAACGTATCAATATGCATATTTGAAAGTGGTTCAATTTCCTTTAAGTTTTCAATGAATTTTTTAGGTCTACTTTTTTCTTTTTTAATATAATGTAAAAATAGAAGTTGGCGTAGATTAAAAATTGTCGTATCGATAAAATTATAAAGCAAAGAAAGTCAGAGAAAGAGGCCTGACTGGTTATTCTTTCTGACAAAGTTGGAGGAGAAGCTTACATGTACAAGAAGGGGGGGACTACCGTTCCACAATTTGACCATAATATTGTACAAGTAGTTGTATATGTTGCAAGTGAATCTAGTGTTACATTGTGTCATAATCATTTGAATGTCATCTTTCAACGGATTGAGGTTAGGTATAATTTCAGAAACTTCCTCTAAGGTTTCTGCTAATATCACTTAGTATTTTTAAAGTTTTAAAGATATACTCACCTTCCCTTCAAGATCACTGGCCGTCACACTTAGCACTGTTGAAGTTCTGACAATATCACTTACCTCTCTTATGGAACCACTAATCATCGTCACATTATATAAAGGGATAAAATTACCCTCACTACTTTAACATTTCTTTAGGCAAAAAAGATGGAAGAGAAAGCCGATGATGCTTTGGTACAGTGATTAGGTTAAGACCTTAAGAAATGGATGATTCGTTTGGGTTTGAGCAAAATTATAATTGGGCCAACTTATATATATTTAGTTAATGGTTGAAAATGGGTGAGCCATAAATGTATGTAGTTTTACATGAGTTTGGGTTATCTAATTACCCATTTATGACCCATTATTAAATTTTATTTACTTTTCTACTACATTAAACAACAAAATAGTATGTCATTGTAACCAAAAAATAAAAAAAAATATATCAAGTTAGAAAACAAGCTTTTACCTGAATAAAAAGAAAAAATATAAAAATTGCATAGAGAAACCAAAAATAGTGATCATTGTAATTTTCAAATTGTGTCACTCTACAAGAAGCTAATAATAATTTAGACATTAGTACAAGAATCAATTAACGCTAAAGAAGTTTATTAGACTTTCATGGAAGGGAGGGAGGAAGGAGGATAAAATTTTAAGAAATAAAAGAATGAAAATTAAAGAAGAGGAAAAGAACCCTAAATATATCTTTGCAAAAATTAGAATATAATTATTGGATTAGTAGTGATTTAAATTTAGCCATTAATGATTGAATTTAAATCCACGTCTAATTAGGTCTAAATAAGTGATATAAATCTACACATTTAAACCACTAATCAATGGGTTTAATTGAATCACCCTTTTGAACCCCATTAAATTACATATCTAGCCCATTTGTTGATAGGCGAGTCAAAGTAAATAGGTTATAATTTACAGTTATAAATGTGTGAAAAGTATAGTCCGGCCGATAAGAGATAAATGGGTTACAAATTTGGGTAAGAGATGAAACAATTAGGTAGGAGTGGGATAGGGCAAAGAGAATGTAGGGTTTGAGGAAGTGAAGAGTGACTGCAAGAATGTGAGAATGTTAGCTAATAGGTAAAGAAGAAGATGGTGGAGGGTAGAAGAGAGGTATTTAAATGATGTGAGGTGAGGGGAATTGTGGGTTGGGGCTCCTCAGGGAAATGGTGTGAAGGGGGAAGAATGTGGAAGGAAGGGGTAATAATATTGTATTTGATGTCCTTTTGATATTTTCAAGTGTTTTTGTGATATTTTTTCATATTTTTAAGTATACTTTAAGGTTTTAGATAAGATACATAACTACGGCATAAAATAGATGATAAAATTGCACTCTTTTTTATTTTTTTAACTTTTTTTCATGTAACCATTGTAAATAATTCATTTATTGTTATTATTATCTTAAATGTAAATGTGTGCATAGTATAGGTCAGCATACAAGTACATCAGTAATATTCTAGTACATTAGTAATTAATGGATATAAAAGTATAAATATTACCTCTTAAGAATTACACATTTTCTGAAATAAAAAAGTTAAAGTCTATGTAGTATGATATTTTGATTGTGTCTTTCTGTTGGCATTGCGGAAGCTGTATAGTGGCATAAGCACCTATATTTACAATATATATATATTTCCCCCCTGAGAAGTATGTGACTAGGAAAATGGTTTATACTTATTTTGGCTTAGTCCTTTCACTATTATAGTCAAATATACTAGTATTTTTTTTTTTAAAATCACTCAAATATACTATTAACACGGCCTGTTAATTACAATGAATGAGATTTTCTTTTCCATCATTCTTCTCATCGCATTTGTTTAATATAACTCTGCTCTAAGTGTTAGGCCTTGTTTAATAATTCAATTCAGTAGTTAAATTTAATGAGTTCAAACCTTAATATGTTAATACGTATTTGATAATAAAAAAATAAAACATCTTAATTAATTAAGTGACTTTGAATTATCTAGACAAAATTTACTTTGAAAAATAAGTGATAAACTGTTCACTTATCACTTAATGCAAAATACGCTTGAATGTTAAGATTTCAAATTTCAGATTCTATACTTCATCTCAGATTTCACTTCTATCAAGTGCATCCTTAGAATAATAATCTGATATGGGCAAGAGCGAAGTCTATCAATGAAATAGATTCCAAATATACCAATACAAGATAGAATGTAATGAATTGGGAATCAAGATAGAATATTAAAAGAAGAGTTTTCCTTCCAACCAATGCTCTAAGACATTCATTAAGACACCAAAATTACATTTAATTTACCATACACAGACTCACATTTATTACTCCCTTAAATTTGGACACTTTCCGAAACAGTTAATACTTTAGCGAAAAAATTAACACAATGGAACTCTTTTAACGAGTGCCCTAATCAAACCCTTAAAAAATATACTCAAAAACATCTATGAAATCTATGTGACGAAATGAAATGTGCACCAAATCAATTACGATCGACAATCAATTATATAGTTTCCATATTTTGGTAACTAGAGAGCAAAAATTATAGGGTAATCCGCAATGTAGAATTTACTACCTTGCAATCTCTTTCCAATAAATTAAATGTGACAGAGTATTAATTTTACTTTGTTAATTAAAAAATGTAATTCTTTACCTTG